TACACAACTTCATGGGCACCTGCACCTACACCCTCTCCAAGCTGTGTGAGAGCAACAGCTCCCTGCCCTACTTCAACGTGGAAGCAGCCAACGAGCACAGGGGGGGCAACACTCGTGTGTCCTACGTCCGATACGTGGATGTCGATGTGGCTGACCAGCGGATAAGGCTGGGGCAGGGTGGAGTGGTGACGGTAAGCTCAAGAGGGAGAGCCTGTGGGGCTGTGTGAGAGGAAAGAACTGTGCCAAATGGGTTGGTTCAATCCTGTCTTGCTTCTCGTCCTTCCAGGTGAACGGAGTGGCAGAGATCCTGCCTTGCAGCCCATCCGCAGGTGTGCAGGTCTTGTCCAGTGGGTTCTACACTATGGTCATGACAGACTTTGGCTTGAGAGTGAAGTTTGATGGGAACCATCGGGTGGAGGTGACACTTCCAAGCACCTTTGGGCAGAAGGTTTGTGGCATGTGTGGGAACTACAACGGGATGGCAGCAGATGACTTCCTGAACCCGGAAGGGATGCTGGAGCCAGACTCCACCAGCCTGGGCAACAGCTGGGAAGTGTCCAAAAACAGCAGGTGGGTGTGCCTCCCCAGCAGGTCTGGGGACGTGTCAGGCAAGGGGAGGAGGAGGCACCAGGAGAAGCCCAGAGATGACCCAGAGGCCCTTCTCCCTGTCTTCGCACAGCTGCTCAACCGGACCACTCCCCACCCCAGCCTGCAATGACACGGACAAGCAGGTCATCGCCAGCAGCCGCTTCTGCGGGCTCCTCACCGACACCAGTGGCCCCTTTCAGATCTGCCACTCTGTGCTGAGCCCCAGCAGTTACTTTGACACCTGCTCGTATGACCTGTGTGAGCTGGGGCTGCACCAGGAGACCCTGTGCAAGAGCTTGCAGTCCTACGCGGATGCCTGTCAGGCGCTTGGGGTCCAGATACCCGTGTGGAGGAACGCAACCTTCTGCCGTAAGTCCACACATGGTAGCACGGATCGTTACTCTCAGGAAAGCACAGGATATGAAGGAAAGAGTGAGGGGGGGAAATATTCTCGCTGTGAGCCGTGGGGATTTACAGGGAGTTGTCTGTATTAGAGGCACTGTTTACATTTTCTATTTCACTTGATCGGGTAGGACCGAGAGCACACATGGAGCTAAGCAGACCAGAGGGAAAAATGAGACTGTTACTTTTTCAAAGGGCAAAACAATGCAAAAAGAACTGCTGAGTTATGTTCTGTGCGTAATTGCCACGTCTTCTGTTTCTGCAGCGATCACGTGTCCGGCCAACAGTCACTATGAGCCCTGTGCTGCTGCCTGCCCTGCCACCTGTGTTGACCCAATGGCTCCAGTTACCTGCAGCCTGCCGTGCGTGGAGGGCTGTGTGTGTGACAGCGGGTACCTGCTCTACCACGACCGATGTGTGCCCAGCCAGCAGTGCGGATGCTGGCACAACGGGCAGCACTACCCCGTGGGCTCTGAGTTCTGGACGGACAACACCTGCTCCTCCAAGTGCAGGTGTCCCGCGCGGGGAAGCAAGGTCCA